ATGATAAGGCTGAGGCTGGACCTCTCTGAGATATGCATGTGACAGCCATTTTGAGCCTTCTTGTTGTTCGATGTGTCTGCTGGGGAAAGAGTTGTGCAAGAGGTTGTATGTTCCAGTATAAGGTGTTTGTGAGGGTGCGGATAAGGTGGGTGGAGCTACTGTGAAACTGAGTAGTTAATAGTCCGTCTTTGTCTTCAGATTAATCTGGCACACAAGCCTGGGAGAACCACCGCTTTCCAGTATTACCTTATTGTGAGCACGACCCATCTCAAACAGCGACAGAACCCAACCATGGCAAAAGTCAGAAAAACAGACATAGTGCACAAGACAGAACAAATAATCTTCTCAGCGGTTTCTTCGTATATCTTTTTGTTTTACTCTCAGTTCCTCGGTTTATGTGTCAGGACTTGTGGAAAGGGGTGTGTAGAGCCAATAAATGATGGGATGAAGTGACAGGTAACGGTGATTTCTGTCTAGTTTTTCTGGTTCTACTCAATGACTGGAAAAGTCAAGCTGAGGCCTGCCCTCTTCCCTCCAGCCTGGGAACCAGCGCAGTGATGCCTGCTCACCTAAGTGCCTAGCTGCTTTCGCTGGAAGCTGTTCCCATCCCACTCATCTGTTTATTATTTTCCTGTGAGGGCTTGTGTTGTAAGAAGAGAAAGGAGGGGGTGTTGAGGTCAAGATGGAGGGAATATTCTCCCATGTTTCATTGATAATACCTCTGGAGACTGGAATGATGGGTTTTTAAACATGAACAAGTCATAAATATATCTGAAGGGAAGTGGAAAACATTTGGTCAAGAGCCTACAAGGTTCGTGTTTCAGTAATCCCTTGATTTTACTGGGCTTGGACTTGGAGGCAAGTCCTTTTATTAGGTGCCCGGACTGCTCCACTGGTTGGTTTGCTTTAAGTCAGGAACAAAACAGACACTATAACCACAGACAACAAGTCACGGAAAAAAACAAGTTATAAAAGAAAAGTATTCAAACAGAAGAGCACATTCACACTGTGCATAATAAACATTCAAGGATATCCCAGCTCACATGACGAATTCTCTAAACAAAAGCACATTTTGGCTACAGGTCTGAACACCTACTTTCATCTGACTGAGTAGGTTTTAGATGAGGAGGTACCACACATCTAGTCAACGTGAATGTGTAAAACAGATCCAATGTTAATAACTTTCCCTGTGACAGATTAAAACACACATGTGTGTGCGTTTTTTCAGACTGAGCACAAGAGGAATTGTGCAGCTCACTGTGGAGCCAGTTGTTCCCACTGATGCCCTGAGGGTTTCTGGACAGAATTGCAACATCAGCTGTGGGTTTTGTGTGCTGCAGAGAGTGGGCACTGGGTACATTTGACCTCTGAACTTCCCACAGCCTCAGGAGGAGAAGCTTTTTACTGAGAAAGGGAAGAACCTCTTGTCGTCCCACATGGTTCTCTCAAAGTCACATTCCAAGGGATGCATTTCCCACCATGGACCAAAAACCTCACTCTGTTCTTTCCTGGAAAAAATCCAAAAAAGTGGGCGATCACATGAGTGGGGTCCTGCCCAGTACTCATGGCAGACCTGACCTTCAGTAAATGTCACAGTTAGGCCTTTCTCCACAGGTCAGGGCAAATATGGAGAGGGTCTGGGTCTGGGAGAAAGAACTGTTCTCTCTCATAGAGCAGGGAAACATTAGGTTCTGACTCCATTAAAAATGTTTTCTTTTTCCAAGAATATTCATAACTCAATTCCAAATCACAGGATATACATAATGTAACATTAATAAGATTTGATGTGATCTTTTCATTTTATACAATAACATGTTAATTAAAGTTAATGTTTTTGAGTGTAAGACAGAAGTTTCTTGAATGACATAGACACACTTTACCTTTCACAATTCACTAATTTTACCATATCAAAAGCACATTTTGTCTCAGTATACTAAATGCACTACCAACATGTAGCAATACAGAATCAAATGGTCTCTATCTTCACAAAACATCATATTGTATCATGTTGTGTGTCCAATACATACACATTTATGCAACAGTTAATGAAGGAATATAATTAAAAAAAATAAAACTGGTCCTCTGGGTTAGCTACTGTAACCAGGAGTATTCACATTCCCTAATATGCATGTTTTTTTACTGAGCACCCACAGGAAACCAGGGATAACATGGGGAACATGACTAATTCACAAAGAAAACCCCAGGTGGGTTGTATTGTTTGTATAAATGTTACAAAACTCTGTTGATGTTCTAAACAGAGTTTTGCTGGGGGTTGACTTTGATTGAGTAAAGTATTTTGAAAAGAAGTGGTCAGGGAATGAAATATGATTCACAGTTTACAGCTTTTTCACTGCAAATTGTTATGAAAATGGGAACTCAGTATTGAAAAATTGCTTCCTGTAAGACTTATGTATACATAACGCTAAGAAGAGGAGGATATATTTACAGTAATATGAGCTTTTTCAAAATAAATATTTAAATACATTTTGACAAAGCACTCCACACACAAAGCAGTAAAACATAACCAGAAACTGCCCAACATCACAGACTGTATTACAAAAAAATAAGAATTGGGACGTTACTTATTTCTTCATTCAGTATCGTGTGTGCAGAATAATCAGTTGAAAAGATTGTAATAGATGCGGCAAAAAACAAACACAATTCTGGAAAAACACCTGTAAAAATTTAAAACGTAAAAACCGGTCAAAGGAGACCAAGCTGTGGGCTGTATATACAGTGCAGAAACAAGTTTCTTATGAGATCCAGTGAGAGCACGCAGAACCTGGAGTGACGTATCCAGCTCTGGATGCCCACATCAAAATAACCACATCACTCCATTTCCTGAAGAACAGGCGTGTGTGCATACAGCAGGGTTGGCTGTCATATACGTTCCAACAGTGAAAATAACTTTTCTAAAGGAACCAGAAGAGCAGGCCTAGTGGCATACTGTACCTCAAAAATGAAAATAAGATTGTTTTTCCTTTTGTAAACCACAACTGTATGCAATGTTTCATGAATATAGTGTGTTTAAACTTTAAAACTGTCTGCATTACATATAACACTTCTAATTAATAACTTGTACTCATGTGGATTTCCAACTGGCATTCTGCTTGTGTATGTGTCCCTTATACTGTATGTAAGGCAAGGCAAGGCAAGTTTATTTATATAGCATTTTTAACACAAGGCAATTCAAAGTGCTTTACAAAAATGAAAGACATTAAGAAAATGGCATTTAAAATCAGTCATTAAAAAGAAAAGTTAATAAAATAAACATTAAAAGAAAAAATACATGGATAAAAGTTCAATTAAAAGCAGCGACAAAAAGAAAAGTCTTCAGCCTGGATTTAAAAGTAGTAAGAGTTGCAGCGGACCTGCAGGTTTCTGGGAGTTTGTTCCAGATATTTGGAGAATAATAACTCTCAACGCTGCTTTACTGTCACGATCTGTCTGTGTTGTGTTTTGTCTTGTCTTTTTCTATCTTTGGTTTCCTGTTTTATTTTGTAAAGTGTTCACCTCCTGTCTTGCCTGTTGCTTTCTGTCTGTTTTCCCTCCCTGATTACCCGATTGTGTTCACCTGTGGCCCCTGTGTTTTCTCCTCCCTCCTCACCTGTGTCTTGTTTGTGTGATTAGTCTTGTGTGTATTTAAGTTCTGGTTTTTCTGTCTGTCTTTGTCGGTTCGTCTTTTGTTTGTGGATTAAGTTCTCCGGTGAGTGTTCTGTTTTGTCTTTATTAGTATCCAGTAGCCTTGAAATAAAGGAATTTTCAGTTTAAAGCTGCATTTGGTTCCTGCCTGCTTCACACACCGTAACATTGTGATCTTGTGTAAAATAAATATATATTGATCAACACCTCCCCTCTGATTGGTCGAGGACTCCCCTGCTCCAGAGCTTATCAAGTGTCTCCTCTTCTATAACCCAGAACAGTTTGCATAATTATAATGTATATTAAATCCACTGCCATTATGTGTCTGTAGTATATTTCTATATATTCCTGTAGCCTAGTGAGAGTAATGTAGAGTAGGCCTACTCGCTATATCGTGTATTATTTAGATCAGGGGGGTCCAAACTTTATTTTTTTAAATGTATTTAAAAAGTGGATTTATTAACACGTGAATACTACGGTGTAATATACATATGTTTACAAAGAACCCTTATGCTTAAAACAAAGATAAATAGTTCCAAGATAACTTATCCCTTTAGATACATGTGTTGATGCAAACTGCTTGGCTGTGTTTTCAGAAGAGTTGTCATGCTACAAACAAATGTATTTACCAGATTTTCCTTAAAGTCCTCTCCAAAGCTGTAGTGATTGGTTGTCCAAACCAATTAAAAAGTTAAGCCATTATTGAGATTATTAATGAGTTTGGGGTATTTTCTGAATACAAAGATCAATAATGGAAAATCCTTACCACAATGTAAAACGCTCAGATTTAGCACACATTCATTTCTAGTTAGCTTTTAATGGGTTCAGGCATTATTTATTCTGTTCAATTACATTTTAATTTAGATCCAGTTGTGAATAATACTGTGATTTATAATAAGATAGACCCTTAACACCCTCTTTTAATCTTTAATTAAACAACAAAAGCACATAGCACACTCAATGTGAAGTCAACAGTCTTTTATTATGGCACATTATTAATCACGTGATGTTTGTCTTTATACATTAATGTGTGTTCCAACCTTTTCATATTTGATTTCAAAATTCATTACATATAATGATTTGAGGGAGGGGGGGCGCGGCTGTTCTTATTTTCTCTGAGGGGAGGCTCACCTACCCACACTTTGAAAACCCCTGTTCTATTCAATGTGTGACTTTGTTTAGTATTTAGTCAAAACACACAATCCTTGAAATAACTGATATAACTATAAATCACACCAAACAAATACATCAGAAAGGGGACTGAAGATGATCAAGGAGGTTTGGTAAATCTGCTGCTGTCCAGCATCAGAAGGTCAGACTCTCTCATGAAAAACATCTCAGTTGTCAGGTATTATCTAAAAAAGGAATCTATAAAATGGTACAGCTAGATTGATTTCTCTCAGCTTCCTCTCTGGCATTCCTTTCCTCCTCTTCATTTATTCTCCTCCTCTGCTCCTCCATTTGTCTTTGGCGATCTTCATTTAGCTTTATCCTCTCTTGTTCATCTTGGGCTTGTCTGTATGCTTCTGCATACTTTTGATCTATTATCTTTTGCATTTCCTCCTGCTGTTTGCGTATTTTCTCTTCTTTCTCTTTAAGGATTCTCTGTTTTTCCTCTTCTATGGCCCTCTCTGCCTTCTGGAACATTTCATTGGTGTAATGGCTTCCTCCGTTCTTCTCTGTTATGTTTCTGATCTTGTCGAGCAGCTCTCTGACCTGAGAACGATCCTTCAGGGCATTATTGAAGACGTGGTACTGCCCGTTACATCTGTTCACAAGTTCCTGCAGCTCTTCACTTTCTTTCAAGAACTCTTCCATAGGACTCCCATCGAGCAGATCACCGTGGGTAAAGAGAACCATGCTGTATTCGTCTGCTCCCTTTCCAAAGATTTCCTGAATCTTCTGAACCGTCTGTTTTTCTTCCTCTGTGAATCTGCCCAGTCTGATGACGACCAGGAAGACATGAGGTCCAGGAGAAGCAAAACCAATGCTCTGGCCAACATCTTTTCTGGTCTTCTCTTCTTTAAATTTGGTGTCACACAGACCTGGAGTATCAATAACCTTAACTCTTTGTCCATCAACTTCACCAATGGCATTAGCACAGTCTACAGTCAGAGATTTAAAAGAGAACTTTGATGGAAAGAAATCTTTTCCCAGAATGTTGTTTCCTGTGGCGCTCTTCCCAGCTCCGGTCTTCCCCACCATCACAATCCGGATTACATCGTTATTGTATGTGTTTGATTCTGATCGGAGGTCTGAAAAAAAATAAGAAATATTGATCAATCTCTGTATTTATAAAATGGATCAACTACCACATGAACAATGTTGACAGTGAGGGGGGTGGGCTCAAGATGGTTTAATAATCTAGAATATTTCTAGAACAGGGGTAGCCAACGCGGTGCCCGCGGGCACTAAGTCGCCCGCAGGGGGGAAATTGGTCGCCCGCGTGCATGTTCTAAAAATAGCACAAGTCACCATGGAGCTCCGTCTAAAAAAATTATTGAATACATTTTTATTTTTAAAATGACAATATTGAATATAACATTTTAAAAGCACACATTTTGTATGTACATATGTAAGTGAAATGGAGATTTGGTGCGTGAAATTGAACTCTGACCCCAGATAGGTTCAGAGTTGAACTCCACGCACCAAATCTCCGTTCCACCTTTAGCTGAGACAAGCTAGCATGAGCAGCTACGATCATGGGCCTCATCCCCACACCGCAAACAGACAAACACACACACACACACACACACACACACACACATAGCAGTGGTGAGGATCTCAGCCTGCCACTGACGTTCAACCAGAAAACATCAGCAGTTAGCTGTTAGCAGTTAGCAACGCATGAAAAGGTTATGGACAGAAAATGAACAGATTGACTAATCTAACTTTGACGGAAACAGTCCTTTTTGTAAAAAGTGGGTGTATAAATTATACGTGTACGTGTCGTGGTACGAACAGCGTGTTTAATGGACACCGTGGGAAGTAGTATGAGGTTTTAATGGAAACGAGAAACTGAAGTAGAATTAAAAAACATAAATCTTGACTGTCCTTAGATAACGGGTTTTGTTGTTTTTAGGGTGAATTTTTATGTCCTTTAGCATTTGTCGCTGGACTTTACACAAGTGAACCAATTTTGAATTATGATATAGCTTTAATGTGTACAAAATGAGTCTAATAAATTAGAAATATTGATAATAATGAATACGCACTAGTGACTTATATAATATAAAAGTACGGAAATAGAAGTAGATATCGCGAAAGATTGTCAAATTGGTGTTGACGATGCAATGGTTTTGACAAACCTGCAGCACTGAATATCACACATGGTTTGTGTAGTTATGAGAAAGATCGCGAAAAATTTGTCAATGGTTTGACGATGTCAGTGCTTTTGACAAAACTCAATTTGAGCTAATTACATAGTTTGTAAATAATCGAGCAGTCGGGAGCGCCCAATGAAGATTAAAAAGGGAAAGTTATGTTTATAACACGAGAGTGGAAAGAGGAGAAAAACTTTTTTTTTTTAAAATAAGTGACCTTTTTATCAGCATGGCTCTTTCAGACACTAGGGGAGAAGACGTCCGCCGAAGACGGAGTGGGACACTAGTCATGATAGCATAGTCCCTCCCCAAAACGGAGGTACTGGGCCAGGACCGACACCGTGTCAAAATGGACCTCTCGTCGGAGTGCATCTAATGAGTTCCTCTGTTTGTCCGCTCGGGTTTACAGTACCGTCGAAATTAGTCGACACCAGATCTTCTCTTATTAGCGTCCAATTGTTTGCATGTCGTTGTTTATAACCTATTATTTTCGTTATTCCTATGAAAATGAACGTGCATACCTGTAAAAAGACGAGGTTTCTCGTGCATGACAAGGTCCACTTCGTCAGAGAGGAAATATCCTCCTTAGTTTGATTGATTGTAAATGTTTGTTTTTGTTACTGTTAACCCTATATGCTATGTGGAATAGGGATGAGGGAAGGAGAGGAGGAAGGACACACAGTAATTTGGGGAAGAACGTTTTTGTAGACAACTAGTGAGTGGTGTAAGTTTCCAGTGAGGTCTCTAAACTGTTATAGCAGTTTGGCAACCTGTACTGTAAAAAGTCTTATGTCGTCAAAATGAAATAAATCCAAATGTGAATAATTCGAAAATATGGATAGTAAAGGTTATGGTCGTGTGATTACAGTGATTCCGTTCGAATTATGGCGAATGTTCAAAAAAATTCCGGGTTTTACCCCCATTAAACATCTTCACTAATATCTACCTTTAATTTGTACAACATTCGGGGGGTGAATAACATTTTTACAAAAGAATAATTTTGTTTACATGTCATCCGGTTGACGACGTGGAAAGTCAAGTCTAACATAAGTCCGGCAATTCTCAGTTTGTAGGGCCGTCTAATGTAAAGCACACTAAAATCTAAAGGTCATAAAAACAGAGTACCAGGAGGAAGAACTAGACCAATTTTTTTATGTTTTAGGTAACTGTAACTGAACTGTAACTTGTCTGAGTGATGGAAATCGAGATCTGTCCCCCAGTGGTGGGAAAACAGCGCCTCCCATGAAGTTCCCATGACTCATTATGTCTGTCCCATGAACAAACATGTTTGAAGGACTCATGGTGTAATTAACGTGCCGAAGTGGAAATTACTATGAAAAATAATTATTATTAGCTTATGTATAACTTAAAATGACATACACTTCCTGACAGACTAGTCGTACAATTACAATTAATAAGGAGTGTATAATAATTGTTGCTAAATGGAACGATATCGTTTGGGGGTAACAAACAATACTTTACATAGAATACATATGTTGTAAAGAGCGCTCTAGATAGTCCCCACGAACATTACGACGCAAGTGTGGCCGCGCTGAACGAGATTAGCGAGCTCAAAGTGGCGACGACGGTCGACACAAATGAGCGAGGAAGTTTTGTTCTGCGCGACCGAGCCCATCATTTGATGTTTGTTTTACTTGTATAAAAATGCACTAATTAAAATATGTGCAAAGATTTAACTACGGCTTCATTGTTGTATGACTATGGCAAATCATTTTTGGTTAACGAATTACGAACTGTTCAGACGTCTGTTCTGCGTCCGCTTGTTGGAAAATTTTACGAACAAAAGACTTACCTCTAACCCAGCTGGTCCATTCGATTGAAACATATACGATAAGGTGTGAGTATTGTTGCCTGGATGTCTGTATTTATGGTACGCTGACATAAGCGGTACTGTGTCTGTCAGACACCAAACATGAACAAATTGAAAAACAGTTCAAAGACTTTTCATACTCCTC